GGGAACACCACAAGTGTGACTTTGTGCCATTTTGTACAAAATAAAAGCCTTTCAAAACAAACTCCCTGATTAAACATTAAAGTACACTAGTGTGATAAACAGAGCAAATTTTCTTCAGTTTTTATTTAATATTGTGAAAATTATTCATAAATAATGCTTTTTTCACTCAAAAATGAGGTACCTAGTCTCAGATAAATGAGGCCTACGATTAATCAGAAGCAGATATAAATACAAAACCAGTCCTAAATGAAAGATAAGAAGTTGACAAAAAGATTGAATCCAATCTTTGTTGATAATATAGCGTAATGAGTGATTTATAAGCATTTTTTGAGGCCGGGTCATTTTTGCCCTGGAACATCACAAGTTATTTTTTCAGAGCAAAAAGGACCCGAGCACCACATGAGGGTTAAATAAAAAGCGTCCCCGCACGAACCTCTACCCTCGCCAGCAGGACCTCAATTTCAGACTCCGGTTAGTTTTTTTTTCTTTCTTTGTGCTCGTCATTCTCAAGCATAGAAATTCGGATATTGGTGTGTGCTCTTTTATATGGTAATGATATTAATTAGGGGGCGTTTACAAGGCGGAGATCTGACACCAGTCAGTTGTGCACAATTTCAAGATAATTTGCGATTTATAAATGTCACATCTGGAAGAGAGGCGTACGCACGTGTTTTTGTGCGAACATTCGTTTTCTCTGAATCGCACTTACGCACTTTTGAGAAATGATCTTAGAACAAATTTAGGACGGTTTATACGCAACATCTTATAAATGAGGCCCCTGCAAACAGGGTTTTTCCTTTCTCAAAATGTGGCGGAGGTGGTACCATCCTGATCATGTGCACACAATGTACCCACCCTTCAAGTGGCTGAAACAAACACTTTTTACACGCAACATATTTTAGGTGTTATAATAATTATAGCTATGATTAAAGAAAATGACAATTATAAAGTGATGTTTTATTTTCTTTCACCTAATGTTTTATTGTTATTTATTCTTAAAGTAGCCTTATGAAATGTTTTCTTTTTCTTCAGAAATTCTGTGTTGTGTATCTGGTTATCAAATGAAGGCATAAAACATTAATATCATTTATCTTTAAATTATTGAAAATTAAACTTTTTGGCAAACAAATGGGATTTACTATTAAAATTAAAACATGGAAGAAATGTTGTGTGATCATTCCTTAAAAAATAAAGTTTTCATAATTTTAGTAGTAGGAGTTAATGCTCATCAGATCGCGTAAATCAGTGGGAAATGAATAGAAATGATGATTTTGTGTAAAGAAATATCAAGTAAACATGTATAAAAATATAAAAACCCTGGCAAAGCTATTATTATCAGCGCATGTGAGCAGAGCATAGCTGGGAGCAGATCAGTGAACGGGATTTTACCAGCGTTGCCCAGTACTGCAAACAGGAACAATAAACTACATAGAAATTTCTTGTCGGCGCATTATTTGAGTGGACTTAGCTTTTCCGGTGAGCATGAGCGGTAAATGAGCAGAATGCACATTGATAGAGCGGAATATTGAACAGAACGTCACACGGCGCAGTCATGACGGCTGGAGGAGAGTGAAACCTGAACACTGCTGGGCGGCGCGGCATATATTTTTGGCGGACGAAAATTCAGTGCATTCCTAGTAAATGGACTAAACGATTCTCCGAAGCACATAATTTGCCTCAATGATTTTTTTGTATTCGAGTTACTCGAGGAATCGTTTCAGCCCTATTCTGATCATAGCTTGTCTTGAAAAGCGAAGACAGTTTGATGTTCATTGTAGAAGTCACACTGCAGCACTGTGCGCCAAATCTTCTGACACTGCCAGAATTTCGTCGGAGGGAAAATCTGATCACAACGGTCATTAATAGGCTGACGGTGAACATGTCAAACTAACTATCAAAGACTACAGATTTCAGCCTTGGATTATAGGAATCTTTTAGGATTTGTGAAATTTGTCTCAGACAGCCAAATAGTGGCCGAAATCGTAGTGTGTGCCCGGCTTAAAGCACCTTATTGAAGTCATCAGCTCATTAGTAGAGACTGCAGGACTTCAATTGGGCATGTCCAATGTGGGAGACATACAAAATATGCAGTGGGAGAAGCACTGCGCTTAAACATTTTTTGTTGTTTGTCTGTTCTTGTCTTTTGAAAAAACGTCCTTAAGTCATTTTTGATATTTTTCTTGATTAAAATGATATGCCATCGACTATGATGTTGTCAAATTTGAACCTCTTTTGTACATTTAAAAAAATCCAACAATCAACATGTCAAACATGTTCAAGATTTAATCAACATGAAATACAATTTGAAAACCCGAGCTCCTGAAAAACAA